TTTATGGCTTATCCTTCGTCGTCCAAATTTCTCAGAACGTCAGTAAATAATTTGTAATGTTCTTTAGCGCTACCTACTGTAGCAATTAAAGTTTTGTCTAATTAACAGTGAGTATTCGGTAGTTTTTTCTTCAAACGATCCATAATACGTTAAAATTCAATCGACATATCGCCTAATCCGTAAAATACCATTTTAAACTGATATGAACCTGTAACATCTCCTCCAACAATGTTAAAACTGCATTGTTTACTTGTTTTTTGTACAGTGGTATCAGATCATATGCACTTATTAGATCAATAGATTAATACCAGGTTTTGTTTTTGTCATGACCGCTAATTGTTATAGCGACTATATCGTTTAGTTCAAACTATTCAATCTTTAGATCAAACAGTTCAATCTAATTGGGCTTTTGATATCTGTTGCGAAATATCTGTTTGTAAAGAAGTTTCGAGTTCAGTGTCAGTTGAATTGAACCATCCATTTTTGCTGTTATGACGATGGGTGATACAGAGCTGCCCTCTGAACATCTGGACAATTTTTCTATTTGTCCTTTGCTAATTAACTGATCTTTACATAGTTTCATTTTGGAGAGTAGGTATATTGGTATTGGTATATGCTTACCTCTTACCTGTATTGGTTGAAAAGTTTCGTTGAAATATTTACAAAAAAAATTGTTTGATCTGCCTGTTCGTTTTAAAAACTCGGCAAGTCGATTGAATATAAACAGTTTGAAATCACGTTGGAGTGGTGTATCGAGAAGCTGGCAAGGTTGAATTTCAGATTCGAATTTTATCTGGTTTACTTCTATTCCGATGAGTGTTTTTCTCGGCATCTTCCGTGTGTCGGATACTGCTGATACTGTGGGTGGAGCCTGCTTCTGTTATACCTTTAGTCCCAGATTCGGCAGTGTGTCATTTACCAGTAAGTTTCTTTTTGCCCCTTCGGTGATGAACAGTTGTTGGTCTTTGACATCCCATCCCATCGATTGTATCTTCACTGTGACTTTTCCGATGATATTTATCGTACTTGCGAAGCCTTGGTACGCCTTTTTTGTGATCTCATCAATCTTTACGAATCTTTCTCTTATCTTGAGTTCGTGAAGTAATTCCCTTTTCATGACCGATGCCGGACTAGCTGACTCAATATGTTTTTCAGTTAGGAGAGGATTAGAGTTACCCATTGGTATCATTAATGTCTTTTTCAGTTCAAGTTTTTCATGGGCCAATACTCTTCAAATTCTTCTTTTGCTTTTGCCCTTAACAACGCTCATTTGCTTATCAATATCTACAACTGGAATTCAAAAGTCTACTAAAACTGTTAACTTGCGTGTTGTTTCTGTATGTTTTCTTGTTCGGGTTGTTTTGGATTTTATTCATTTGTAAAGGTTTGGGTTCTAGCTGATCTTCTGCAGTGTTTAGCGAAATGGCCATAGCGACGCCAGGTGTTGCAGTTTCTTTTTTTGCTGTGCAAGTTACAAGGTGTCGGTTCTTGACTTGTTGGCCAAAATTTCTACATTTAGTACTTTCTACAGTGTTTAAAGTTGGTTAATTTTTTTACATTATGTGATTTTTGTACAGAATTATATACAGGGAATTTTATACAATCTTGGTGTATTTTCATGCCTTTCTCGTCGACTAATACATAGGCTAACACATTTTCAGTAGTCACATATTTAATGCACAACCTGAATTTCCACTTTCTTCATATTAGTAATGAAGATATCGCTGACTAATTCGGTCTCTAAGTCGCCCAATTTACAGTTTTCTGCCAGTTCTGAAAGGGCTTTATGAAATTTTTCTAATGACTCATGATTTTTCTGTCTTCGACCGAAGAGTTTGTATTTTTCATGAGTCAACTTTGTAGTTATCGTGAACGTAGTTTTCAGGAATTTCCAAAATTCAGCAAAATTTGTGTCGAGTATTCTCTTACCAGGGTTTTTTTCTGCGAAACTTTTTTGTCTTTCTTTGGCAAGTGCCAGGTACAGCTGTGATTTTATTTTCTTGTCAAGGTCGCCAATTTGTAGAACATTAAATTTTGCATTGTCTTCCGCTTTCTTCCTTCTCACTTATTCATTGTAGGCTTCTTATGATTGTTTGTTTCTTTATTCTTTTTCAACCTGACGGGTTTGATCGTCGGAAGGCTCCAATGTTTCTGGGACAGGGTATATTATTACGGATCTCACTGGTGGGTTAATCACATCTTCGATATCTACGGAATCTTTAGCGATGATTGTTAGCTGAAAATTTTCTGCCCATTTTCCCAGTCTTGATGGTTCTCGCTTGATGCGTTGTTCCAGAAGAACTCTGGGCCTCGTAGATTCGGTTCGTTTGACTGCGCTTAGTTAAAAATTCAGGTTAATCCAGATTAGTTTAATAATAAATGATAAGACGTGGGTGTACTTAAACTAAGACTAGTTTAAGAATTGATAAGATGAGGGATCTCTACTAAACTAACCAGTAGACTTTTATATAAGACTAGATTAAAAAATGCTGGTTCAGTTAGGATGAATAAAAGGTAGAATCGGTTAAGAAGTTGAATTGAGAGTTGGTTACATAAAAACATACACTGACACAGTTGTGCCAAAAGCCGATGCGCTTTTGGCAGGTATCAATATAATTCAAGATTTGAACATGAACACTATCAAAGTTAAAAGATAACAAAAACTTTGACATAAAAGATAACCTTTGACACACATCTGGCTCATCCACCAGTAAAGGACGCACTGAGCATGCGCTAAAGCAGGCTTAACCCACCGAGATGAAATCATGGTTAGACGCCTTGAAGTTCTGCTCATAGTGATTCCACTGTGAACCACTCTTCAAAAAAATCCAACTATTGAAAAAATTGTCGCACGAAGACTAACAAACTCATTGAAAATTTCACCCTGCCCAATGAAAGTTTTCATGTATTGTGAAGCTAACGTTTCCTGTCATACTTTGAACTTGAACAATGTGTAAACAAAGAAAACCACCTGCAACAGTGTGGTCAGTTTTTGTTGTGCCAAACATCACAAAAAACTGAAGGAATTTTCCTTACGGGAAGAAAACACACTTTCCGTTGAAACCAGCACATATTATACTCTCTAGCGTAGAAAGAAGAATGGAATCCACAATCTGCTCCCGACTGAGATATAGACCATGAATGGACCGAAGAAGGAACCATACTTACAAACAACAATGAAAACAATTCGATTTTTGAAACGATTTAAAATATTCAGTAAACCTTGGATGGATGCAAATCGTGCTTCACTTAGATTTATCGCTTCGCGCTTTATATTTTTATGAATAGATTTTTGTAAAGTTTTGGAAAGTTTTAATTAATAAACAATCTTAGGTGATATGTTACAATAGGTGGTACGTTTTTAGTAGTGCACGTATTAAATTTCAGAACTATAAGTCATTATATAGTCATTTCATTTACGATCAATTTTACATGCTGTTAAGATGGTTTTTGTAAAAATATTACTCTGCCAGATAAAATGTTATTCAAAAACTCAAATTTTACACTTTTGCCAGAAACTTGGCTTTTGAAATAAATTTTGAATACTGTGTGAAGTATAACAAAAAGCGATTCAGCTATTTAACTTAAAATTACCTCCTATTGTAATATATCACCCAATTTTTTATTCAAAAACTAAACTTATTTCAGATTATTTCAGATCTGCTTAAGAAAATTTACTTGGGTACGGGAAGTGTTAACTATGACTGTTCTTATTCAGATGTTTACTTGGTGTTAAACTTTAAAGTTACTCTGCAACTAATCATTCTCGCAGGGTTTTACTAGGATCCATCGAGATCTAGAAAATAAGCAAGATTAAGATTTGCATTGATTCAAGCAGTTGTACGAAATTATCCGACTGAAAAACGATAGCGTGATGAACAGACGGTATAACTAATTTGAAATTATTCTATGGGTTAAGCCAACCTCGGACAAACCCTCGATGAGGACAAATTTTTTTTGAGGTTATCAACAGACGTTATGTAGTTTTATTATTTGCGCAACTTTTGGGAACAAACAACAATGGGTTCATAAAATGGGTTCTTGTTGCCTGGCTTCGTTGACTCAATGTTCGAGCAAATGGATTAAAACTGATCATACGATATATCCCCATAATTTTTCGCCATATATCTTCATAGTATAAAAGAGAGATCTCTTGAACGCTTTGGTTCATCTGAACACAAAGTTTTACCACGAAAACAAAAGCTTCATAGATATCGTTCCATATCAGTAGAAAGTTACCCGCGGTACATGAAAAACAAATCTTCCGAATCAATCATGAAACTAAATTAATTAGCTGCTTTTTTGGTGGTTAAAAAAGCTCAAAATTTGCATCACAAAACAACTCTATTGGGGAAGAAATGGAAAAAAACTTAGAAATTTGAATTGATTTGAAAATTTTAAAAACAATTTTCTCATTTTCATAAGAACCAAAAAGCATAAAATATAAGCAATTTAGATGCAACTTTGAAGACACAATGGACAAACAAAAGGGATTATAATCAACTATAATCGATTGTAATGGATTTTTGGGAAAAACTAATGAATTAGAAATTGGAATAAATATAATGGATTATAATCAATTATAATTGATTATAATTGTATCGAAAAATATACGATTAAATAATCGATTTTAATTGATTATAATGGATTATAATTAATTAAAATTTGATGTTTGAAATATAAATGAAAATTGATTGTTTCTCAGTTTTAGTAAGACTGATACTAAAATTGTAATCTAATCGATTAATAACGCTTGAAGCTAGATGCGGGAGATCATATTAAGTTTGATCAAACTCTGAGCAGGCTTTGTCCTATCATCACTTTATGTCTGAATTCAATCCAATTCGAGGAAAGTGCTTCATAATTTATTGTTTCGAAAGATATATATGTCGAAAACCTCAAACCTTGAGTGTCCGGATATCAGCTCTGTTGTAATTATGTAACTTAAACACGCTATTCTACATTTTCAATTACCTGCCTGGATTTGTCTTTTTTTTCAGCGAATAACCACCCCGCTAACTACTATGAAGTGGAGTGCGTAGTTTCAAACTTGAATGCGGTTTTGCTGAGTGGAACCCATTTGATTGGACGTCTAATGATAAACGGGGAAGAATACAAGGTCAAAAGTAAGTACAAAAGGGGGGTTCCAATCTTTTAGATAATCAATCCTAGCCTTTGTCTTAAGGTTATGTAATTAAGCAATACTAATCTATGACTTACTTGCTGCAGTTTGCCTCGAATACAGTTGCGCACGCGCATGGTTGGTTGCTAATTTGCATTTGACATGCACATCAAACAAGGCTGCAGGGAGCACTTGTAATTATGGAACCAGATCAAACTAGTATTTATCATTGGTTATTATTATGATATTTTATCTCTATAAAATTTTAAATACTAATCAATCATACTCCATCAAACTAACAACCCACTTATTTGTCAGTGTTGAAACTACTTGTAGTTTCAACACCAGAGCATTTTGAATTAAACTTAGAATACAGTTGTTCTCATTCTGGAACTAACTCGCATAAACTGGTGTACACTAGATCTAATGAGACTAGGAGATATAAGAGTAAGATTAAGATTGGTATTAGACTAAGAAGTTGCACGAATCTATCCGGCCGAAAATAAGATACCGTGAAGAGCAGACAGTGTACCTTATCTGAAATTACTCTATGAGTTACAGTCCAAAAGACATAACTCATCTGGTGTGACCAAAAAAACTCAAACAGACCTTAACTAACCTAGATTTAGAAAAAATAGATTGGAATTAGACAAATACAACATTTAAAAAAATGTTATATGACAAAAATTTAGGAGAAATGTCTCCACGACTCCATCGATCAGAGCCAATTTTTCGAACAATACGAGAACTACCCGGTATTGGAAGAAGACCTCGGACAAGAGACGACGTACGACTAGGAAGAAAACCTACCAATCAATTTCATGATTGTACGACAAAAACGAGATCAAACTTTCATATTTAGAATACTTCCAGCAGCAAACTTAAATTTTCATTTACTGACATAGAATTTTGAAGAAACATATTCAATAACCTTTCATGGCGCTAAACCTAATAATTATACAATAACGATTGATAAAAACAACTCTAGTCGTTCTCCTTAAAAATCTCGAGTTTTAAAAACATCTTGGAAAAAATATTTATTGATTACAAAATACAAAAATTAGTTAGTGTAAAGCTTATTTGTTAGTATAAATAAATCATCCTTTCATCCCAGCTTCATCACCTAAAACATAACAGCAAATTTCAAAACATTAACATCGTCAAAACTAAACAGTTAATTTTTTCTTCATTTAGACCTTTGCCTAAAAGTTATCAAGGCTTATCCTTTTTTTCACCTAAATTAATTTCATATAAAATAACAGATCATCAAGGCTTCCTTTGGATCTTTAAATTAATTTCACTTAAATTGAAATGAATTAACTTTATCTAAATATCCTGATCATCAAGGCTTCCCTTGGATCTTTAAATTAACTTCACTTAATTTAAAATAAATTAACTTTATCTAAATATTATGATCATCAGGGCTTTCCTTGGATCTTTAATTCACCTTTATCTCAATTAAATTTAATTTCTTTAATTTTATATCCTGATCATCAAGGCTTATCCTTGGATCAAATAGAACAATTTTATTCTCCCCCTCACAATTATTAAAGTGCCTAACGACATCAAACGTCGATTCACTACCCAACCCTTCCCCAAGACCCAGGACTAATAGAATTTTTTCAATCAAACTAACCATTCTAATTAGGATAAACAGTGAAAAACTTCGGTTATTCATCCTTCACGTGATCCCCCCCCCTCTTACCCGACCCAGGTCAGTACTTAAATTTTGTAAGTTTAAAATAATATCTAACGAACTACTTGTGTTCTAGTAATACCTGAACCTTGTGGATCGATTTACTATTCTCCAACCCTTGATCACAATCACTACCCCTAGGTAAGATTAAGTAAGTTAACAACTTAACTTAGACTAGCCACGAGAAATTAAAAATCATTCTCAGGAATTGATATATACTTTTCTCTCCAACCCTGAACTACACGACCCAAGTTAGGCTAACCACAAAAAATCGTAAGAACTAACAGTTTAGGACATTAAAAATCACTAATCCCAATATTGCATCCGTCATCCTAAACCTTATATCAAGAGACAATTTAGGAAACAAACAAACAATCATTATACACAATTGTATAATTAACGCCCAAAAATACGACCTTGTAATCACATCACACAGACAAACATAGGATACACAAGAACAAAAAGAAAACACTAAGAAAGAAAATTATTATCAAACAAAAAAAAATTATTAGGAAACGATTTTCCAAAGGAAGAAACACAGGTACTACAAACTGAATCTAAAAGGTGACCCAAATTAAATTACAGACACTCCAAAAATTGTTGTTTGTAAATGTTAGACACCATTTTGAGCACAAAAAAAATAAAGTTCAAGACACAAATTGCACGAAAACCCTCGAAAAACAGGCCGAAAATGGCACAATTTTTATTGGACTTTGTAGGTCAAACTTTTCAACTTTTTCGAAAAATCGTAAATCAATATTTTGCGAGACGCAAGATCTAGCGTTTAATACCTAGATTAATTAATAAAAGCAGCCCCAGAACATCAACATGAGAAAAATTCGCGTCCCAACCCAAACCTCTTAAATCCACCAAAAAACAAGGAACTTTGGATTTTTTTTCCAAATTTTTCAAAACTAGGGTCAAAAAATCAATATTTAAGAATGTTGAGCCCTAGAGATGACTATTGGCTATGACTAGAATAAAAAATTAAATAAATACATTTTAAATTGCGCTAGGGAGAAATTTTTTAAGAATTCAATATACAGAAAAACAAAAAAAAACGCAAAGTGAAAAAAAACTGTATACTAACAGAGTTTGAGCGAAGCAGTACTTTGCGCCCCAATAAACCCGCAATGCAACCTCCACCGGTTCTATGGACACCATTTTAGCATTATGCAAGGATTGCTTAACATGCCAATTAAACAAAAATACACAAAGTTATTGTCAACCCACTAAAGAATCAATATGTCATAATCTACCACCACATACCCACAATGAAGATCACTTTCATCATCCACAAATTTTAAAATTAGCTTCCGGTACACGCACTGAATGGATTTTAAACAGAGACAAAAAACACAACGAAATTTACCATAAAGTAACAAAAAAGTTATTACAAAGACAAAGTATTAATTCCTAAATAAATTCCCAATTTACCACAGCTACAAATTTAACAATCGGAACATATGTTTTAATTCCAAATTTTACAACACCAAAAAGAATTTCTAAAAAATCACAAGCACTCCGAAAAGGACCGTATCAAATAATTGATAAACCCACTGATGTAACATACAATCTTACAGACTTAAGCAAAAAAGAAATCGTTCAACATCGAAACAGACTTTTACCTTATTACCCGAAAGAGTACGCACTTGGAGAACTTACTCAATTATACTCTTTTACAGGACTTAAAAATATTCAAAAAATATCAGAACAACATCAAAATTAAAGCACTGATATGTATTCCATCCAAAAACAATTAGATAAAAAGGACAAAGAACTTAAACAACAGAAAAAATCACTGAAACAAAAAGCAAAAATCGAAAATTAGAATAAAAATTTATACTAAAAGATCAAAAAGAAAAATCTCCACATAGACAATCCTCGCGACTTTGTAATCAGCCACGAAAAGATTACAAAACATTCGTCCCGCAGTCTAAAATATTTTTAAAATTTGAATTTCGAGAACCACTTTAAAATAATTAACATTTTCACCTCTTGAAAATATTTTCATGGACCGAACATTTTCTCAAAATTCATGCTGAAAACTAGTTCCATTTTAGCCAATAAAAATTTTTCCGAATCATCACCTTAATTTTGACACGACTTCTTTAGCCGACAAACAATCACCTTCAAGCGTATCTCAAACAATAAATTTAAGACCTCCAGGTCAAAAATAAGCAACCCGCTCAAATTTGACAACTAAAAGAAACAAAACCTCAATTTTAAGACCCTCCCCTATCAACTAGAACAAAAATCAACAAAATTGTTCCAGCTTAAGCCTCGAAATCAAAATACCCTCAAGCAAAAGTATTAAATTAGCCTAAAGAACAAAATCGACATGATCATTTAGCCTAAAGTACAAATAACTCTCAAATACCCCCGATCATCCAATGAATAAAAATCAAACTAGGAAGTCCCTTAATAGCCCTCCAAACTTCCCTCACCAAAAATTGCTCAAACCCAACCTACTTGTCAAAATTCCAATAAATAACCCGACCACACTCGAATTGCTTTGACCATTTCTTCAAACTAAATACATCATTCGCTTACTAGCTGAGTTAATAACCTCATCAGAAATAATCCACGAGATTTTTCCCCATGGATTCTTCCCCGACGAATAAGGTAAGTACGAATTAAATAAATTATTCTAATAAATTCGAATCAAAACTAGCCATTCTTAATAAATGTTTTTCCTTTTTCTCTTTAGTCTTCACAAGTACGATCATCAATCATCTACAAAAAAGAAAAACAACACAAAAAAAAGAAAACTTTTTTTTTCTGGAATCATAAATTTAGACTAACCAATTACAATAAATGAAGCAGTAAAATTTACCCCCAAAACAGCACTTAATTGATATATGAACTCTTTTCCCATATGCAGTAAATATTCTTAAAACGAAAATAAATTGAGAATTTCAACCCCCAAATAAAGCCTTAAAATTAATAATTTCAATGTAGTAAATTAATAAAAATTGCCTATAAAATTAAAGCAGTACTAACTTTTTCAAAGACGCTTCTTTGTAGTTTTAAATGTTCACTCGCCCACAATCCTATCCACAATCGCACAGCTCGCCCACGAAGAATTGCTTACAATAAGGAATTTAACTTTTAACTTTCACTGATAATAACTCTAACCAGTTTTAACACATTTCAAACTTTCCTTTAACCCGGTTGGAAAGGAATTATATAATAATCCAAACTAACCAACGCAAGCTTACTTAACACCACAAACCACAACCTAACAGCATGACTAAAAAAAGAAAACGCACCGTACTCAAACCGGATTAAAACAAGCATAGATTTGAATAAATCATTCTCTTAAAAATAACCGCACTAAAACAAGAACGCTTTTGCGATAAAAATTAATACTAACTAAAAAGTAATAGATCATAACTAAAAACAAAATTAACAAAGATTTGTATATGTAAATAATACAATGCAGTATATAGATTACATACAGCCCAAAGACGAGCAGCAAGGAATTTGACAAACCAAGCACACTCCAACTACGGAATGGCAAAATACAACCAAAATGCTGCCTACAGTCACTACACTCAACGGATCTAAAGTACGACTTGGCATCGCAGCAAAGGAAACCCATTGAAACAGAACAATGGCCATCTCAATGTTCAAGTATACGTAGAGATCCAAGTCACCAGGCGCTGCATCCGAAGTCGAACTACACGACACTTCCCATTCTCTAAAATCAATCACCAACCGATCTATCACAACCGATCAGAAATCATAATACAATCTACCGAAACTATCGTGATAACATCTCTTCTTCCAAACCAGAAAAAAAATATGCATGCAACCTCTAAAGAAAAACCACCATCCATCCTCCACTACAATAAAAACATTGAAAAACTAAAACTCTCTAAACCCCGGATGGGTGGAACCAGATTTGAACTGGTATTTATCATTGGTTATTATTATGATATTTTGTCTCTATAAAATATTAAATACTAGCCAATCATACTCCATCAAACTAACAACCCACTTATTTGTAAGTGTTGAAACTACTTGTAGTTTCAACACCAGAGCAGTTTGAATTAAACTTAGAATACAGTTGTTCTCATTCTGGAACTAACTCGCATAAACTGGTGTACACTAGATCTAATGAGACTAGGAGATATAAGAGTAAGATTAAGATTGGTATTAGACTAAGAAGTTGCACGAATCTATCCGGCCGAAAATAAGATAGCGTGACGAGCAGACGGCGTACCTTTATCTGAAATTTCTCTGTGATTTACAGTCCAAAAGACATAACTCATTTATGAGTAAAAACATAAATGATTCCTGTACTCTTCTGTCATCCTCAAGTTCTATTTTTCTTCCGACTTTCGATACGAAAGAAACGGAATATTTGTGCTCGGGGTGGGTTTTTTTTTCTTCAGACAAATTTCAATTTTTTAACTAGCCATTTTTGAGGGAATTTTTTTATCATTCGAAAAGTATTGTTGTCCTGAGCTTGAATTTGAAATGATATTTCACCTGTGATCATTTTTCGTAAAGTTATGGGGGTTTTAAGATTGCAATTTTGGCGAATTTGGGACAATTAACGCGCGATATATTTGGCGATCTCAACGCGTAAGCAGAGATTTAATCCGTCTTAGAAATCGTTCCAAATTGGTTGAAAGAAGCTTATTTGCCATAATTGATATGTTACAAGGAGCGAAATCTAACCTTTTGTACTTAATATGGCTTGTGGGGGATAATTTTTTGTAAAAATTTTCAAATATTTGAAAAAAAATTCATTTTAATTTTTCTACAATTATTTTTTTAAATTTTATTACTGCTCCATAAACCTTAAAAGACAGTCGGAACATTCAGGGCTTTGCCCTGATACGAGTAGTCTTGTTAATATTCATGCTCTAATCTATATTCAAGTGCCAATGAGCAAAGTGACGACACTTATACACGTCGTGATGATTTTTTGTTGTTTGAATTTCGATTAATTTTGAGATTCAGTTTCAGTTGCTAAAAGGAAGGCAAATTACGCTCTCAGTAACAAAATTACAATTAGCTGTATAATTACAATGTAACTGTATATGAGTTTCGAAAGTGGATTTGAACTTTCTAGGCTCGAAGTATTTTTCTCGAGTTTTAACTTCCAAATTGCAAAAACGAATTACTTCTATGCGGTATTAAACATAAGTTTGGAAGGGTTGGTGATGAAGTTTTCAAATAAAAAGAATTTTTTTAACATTTTTTGATTTTTTTCTATCTGTCAAAACATATGTAAATAATACCGAAGCATATAAAAATTGTTTCAATTTGAGTCAACTAATATGATCATTTAGCTTGTCTTAAAATAATTTGAGCGACTATGACTGAGGGATGATTCTCCACGCATAAACTGATTGATCGAAGAAAGAGACGAAATATTTGTACTCGGGATGTTTTTTGGCCCATGTGAACAATCTCCCCCTTTATAGACTGAGTGATTAATCTCCACCCTGAAACTAAATGGAAAATTCAAGCCGTAAGTCCTGTATCATTTTTTATGATCACAAATGATAGGCTGGAAATTATTACTTTCAACCAAGAGAAAAACCTGCACCCTAAATTGATTAATCTCCACCCTGAAACTAAATGGAAAATTCAAGCCGTAAGTCCTGTATCATTTATTATGATCACAAATGATTGGCTGGAAATTATTACTTTCAACCAAGAGAAAAACCTGCACCCTAAATTGATTTGAAGGGGAGATTGCTCACTTGGTCCTTTTTTCTCCAGACAAATTCCGACTTTTAATTTGCCCTTTTGAGTAAAATTTTGTGCATCATTTGAATCTTTTGTTATTTTGAGCTCAAAATTAAAATTCTCGCGTGATAGTTTCTTTAAGTTATGGTGGTTTAGCGGCAATGGCCAAACAATTAAAGCTACTACAAGCACATTCGCTTGGCAATCCGAATAGTTTTGGATCGATCCCCGCGTTGTCATCAAAAACTGCCCGAAGCATAAATACTTCTCACTTTCTTCGATAGTCAGTAGAAAAAAAAACTTTCAGCTTTGAAAATGGCTTCAAAAGTTGAAATCTAGCCCAAATAAAACTAATTTTTGATTATCTCATAATGAATTTTTAGCAAAGAAAAAATCAATCTCTAGAGTGTATTGTAAGTGAAAGAAATTGGATGACAGTTTTAGAAAAAATAACAATTTTTTTGCTACACTAACAAAAAAAATTTCCGGCTTTTTCTTGAGGTATTTAAGCAGTATTAAAAAAAGCGACGATTCGTAAAGTGCGACTTTTAGTAATCAGCAACATTTCGTATAACAGCGTTGAAAAAAATCAACCGATTGCTCCGCTTGCTCTGCTTTGGTGTGTTGCATTTAAATTTGACACGAGAAATTGCGGGTGAATTAGTCGTTTGTCGCTCTATCTACTGTTCCGAATTGCCACCTGGTCCAAATTTGATAAAAAGCTAATTGTCATTTTTGACCAAACTTCGACTCAAAAAGAGTTCCCCTCACGATATTGACTATTATGTTCTTATTATAATTCCTTCATGTTTTCAATTTCAGCCCGGAAAATATTGACGTCTGGGCTTCTGACTTTTGATTTCGGAGTTGTACAAATTCAACCACTTGGTGAAGCGACTTTTGACCTCTATTTCATGGAGGGTGGTCAGATGATGGAGAGGGCAATGGACCCCGACCAGATTTTCTACCTGGAACCAATAAGTGCATCTATCGTGCTCCATGTTTAACAGTTTTGACCATTTTTGCATGTTTTTGATAGCTTTAAAATCAATTGATTAAATTAAAAATTTTATGTATTTAACAAATTCCACGGTGTCAATTTGTATTGTTGGAATATACTCGCAAAATGTATAATTTTTAGGGGTCTTTTCTGTTATATGACGCAAAATTATCAATTTGTTGATTGATTTTTCTGTTAGTTATTGCAAATCCAGATTTTCTTTAGTTGGAAGTAGTTGTGATCAATCAGATTCGAGCATTATAATCCAATTTTCAATTATCCAAACTTCGGGCCGTATAACAGATAAGACCCATTTTGAATATGAAGCTAATAAATTGATAACTGCAGCTTTATCTTCTGAACTTTTTTTTCTAATTTTTGTTTCAAGTATCGTTTGCTTCATCCAATAATCCCTGCCCATCAAAAGTTAGCTGATCAAAAATTGATGTGATGCTGTGCTCATCTTTAAAGGTTGGCAAAGATTCGTTTCTCCTTTCGTCCGTTTCTTTTTTTATCCACAAAGAATAATTGACCATTTTGAAATTGTGCAACAAAATAACTAACCTAATAACCTTTTACTGTTGTTAGCCACAACCTCAGCTGAAGGTCCTTTTTTGATATTATGAAACTAATCCGAGTGTTCGAATCGGTTTGATTTAAAACAACCGAAAAGGATAAAATTTCCAAATTAATTTAAATTTCAAGTTTAATGAAACTTCATCCTCAGTTTTCGGCCAGAGAAGACCTAATCTAATATGTGTGAGAAATTCCTTTTTTGAGAAATGTCGTAAGGATTTCATAAACAGTAAGTAACATCATGAGAATTTATATCAACTGCTCAATTGTTTCATCGGACCAATTAAAGTTCTCCTCCAAATTGGACATCCATTCCAAGAAATTTACACGAAGCTCTAAGAAACCTTAATCCATATTAAAAGCTGGGACTGAAGATCTTAACTTGATCTATCAAGGAGGAGGATTTTAAACTGATCTTTTTCTTCTAAAAACAATGTAAATTTGGAATAAAAGATAACAAGAAAAGAAAATAGTATGAGCTTGTGTCGTACAATAACACATTTGTAGTGAAAACTGAATAGTTAATAAAATAATAAAGTTTGTGTTAAAAATAATTTTTTCAACCAACTGAGATAATTCGGTGATTGACTTACACGACTTACACATACAAAAGTTTCTGTGTTAATATATTGTCTGCCCTTCATTCCATAGGTTTTCTTCGGCCGCATAGGTTTGTGCAGATACTTAGTCCAATTTTAAGTCTTAGTCGTACTCAGTGGCGTGCGCAAAAATTTTTCAAGGGGGGGGGGGGGTTTCCTTACTTTTTTTAGGTCGACCTTTTTTTGATTTTCCGACCTCTCCGGCCCTTAGAAAAATTCCAAGATTGGTCGGTCGAAAAGGAATGACGTAACATAATACCAAAGGGGGACCTAGTGGTGCGGAGGGGGGGGGGGCTAATTGTGCAAATCCGCACCTAATTGAGCAAATACGATAATGTGTAGTTCTGGGAAAACTGTCAGGAAATTTGACTAATCAGGAAAAGGCCAGAGCGACTGGACATGCCAAGGATGCGCAAACGCAACCGGTTGGAGACGACCGTCGAAAATCAAATCAACTGCACCAGTGGCTTGCGCAGAAACTTTTCAAAAAGGGATGGTTTTTCGAAACATTTTGAAAAATTTGCGGACCATTTTTTCTAGGTCGACCTATTTGGTTATCCGAGCTCCCCATTCAAAAAACAGGCCAAAAAACGTCGTTTTTGGGAACTTTTTGGCAAACTTTGACACAATAGGTGAACTTTTTTCCGGCGCTCTCTATCCCTCAAAATTAGTTATATTGGCGCTAGAGGGGCCTTAAGAAACATTTTGAGGTTGAGCAGCCAAAAATGAACGTCGGAAACTTATACCAAAGGGTGATCCTTTACAAATTTGGCAACCAGCATCAGAATTAGAATTGAGGCTCTTGATTCCTTAGTCTAACTAGATCAAGGGAACAACACACTGGTTCAGCAGAAATAAATTTGGGCTCAGCTTTATTCCAATGGTCAGATCAATTGATCACTTCAAAGCCTTGGTATGGTAATTTGTAATTAATAAACTTAATAATATTATACCCTGAATATGTACAATTATGTACACTAACTAAAGAATTAAAGGAACAAATTGGTTAAGACTGAATTAATAAAGTCTAATCTAAAACAACATTAAAGTGAATGGTCGACCGATGGTCGATATGAAACATATTTAGCAGGTATGTAATTAAAGCTAAAGGTCAATAGGTTAAACAAAATGAACAACTCACAACATTCCTCAACGGGAAATATTTAAATATTTACAATTAGCTAAGACTAAGTCTATATACACCCTTTTCCCCCTTCAAAACAAAGATAAACAAAATGTACAAATTGTACAAAATAAAATGAAATGAACAGAACGAAAAATTGTTCTCTACAGTTTAGGTTGGTATGTACAAATATGCAAAAATTGGTGAAATTTACAAAAAGCTAACTAATGTACACTAAATATAGATGGAGATAAAATAAATTTAAGCTACAAACTGTACATAAAAGTGCCAGTGACTTAAAAACCGTGTGGCAAAATTTAAAAAAATTGTGGAATAAGGAAATTGGAAATAGAGTTTTAAATGAGTTCAATGAGTTTTTAATTTTACTCGGCATCAAATTCATCTAAAGATTGTCGTAAGTCTTGATCTATCGTCGAAGATATTTCGCTTACGTAGTCCTGCTCTGAGACTATGTTGAGGGATTTCTCGGTGAGAGTCTTCCACGAAGATCGGGATTTTCGCAAGAGGAGTGAGGAAATCAGATGGGTACCAGCACAAGAAAGCAGCTGACGTAAAGGAACTTGATTGGTGTCCGTGTTGCGTCTCAGGGCCCTCAACGAAATCCACATATCGGCGTTCACAGTAGAACTGGGGTGATCCCATACTTCTTCTGCGTCTGATTGTAGATCTGGGCTGGGTGGCAACAGGAGGCGTTTCCTCTGGTGTGCTGTCCAGCAATATTGGCTCTGATGCAGATCCAGATGATGATGGTCCAGGAAGACTGCTGGCTTGTGTCGCGACCGATGGTCCGCTGGGTACTTCTTCACCTGTAAAATTTAAATCGACGTTATTGTCAGAATCCCGATTAATTGGGGTATTGTTATTTGACATATCGTCGAAGTACTTGTCGATTAGGCCGTCCCACGAGTTTAGATTTAGTGAAGAAGATGGAGAAAATGAACCTCACAATTTCTGCGGGGAATCCGGAATGACGATGACTTCAGTCGATGAATTTGTGGACGTTTGTGTGGAAGTCGGGTTTCCGCAAGTCGAGTTTCCACTGGTCGTGTTTTTCTGATGGTTAGCTCTGGTTGACTTCTTGGGAGGCGATGTTTTCCCCTTTCCGGCTAAACTTGGAACGCATGAACTATCGGTACTCTTTGGTTGGGTATTAACAAGGGTCTTAGAAGGGCCCCGAAGTATTTTCCCTTTGATGGCTAGGACAGATTTGCGTAAAATATGTCCATTTTCCAATGCGACCTTGTGGTCCAAAGAATTAAAAATTGTCTCTTTAACGAGATTCGAATACAATTTTCCGTTTTTTCGATTGGAGTTTTTTCTAAAAAGATCATCTCCGGTGGTCAATTTTTCTAGAGTAGGCCGATTCCGATTATAGGTCGGGTTTGGGGTTGCTCGGCTCCCATGGGGAATCTTTGCCAGTGGTGGGATGTCCGAGTCTGAGGAGGAGTCCATGGCTGCATCCTCGAATTCGTCCTCTGCTCCATCGTGTAGCTCCCAGTTCTTTGCCCGGGGGTCTGATATGATTGACTTTCCTTGATCTAAACGATTATCAATAGAAATCAGATTTTTCCATCTGGTGTTAGCAGTGCGATTGAAGTGTTTTTCAAATGGGGTACACCCAATGGACAGTTATTTGGTAATGCGATGGTTTCAAATAATTTTTTCAATTGAAGGATTTAAAGTCAATTTAGGTAATTCGTATGACATGGCGAGAAGTTTGGATTTTAAAGTATAAACAAGTATTTCAACGAATCCATTTGATCTATGATCACCTACTGTACAATAAATAATCTCTTTAGTATAATTTCCGCAGAAGGTCTTAAAATCGAGTGACAAAAAGCATGACCCATGGTCGACTCTGATTTTTCTTGGAAAACCGTGAAGATGGCAGTAATCGTTCAGAAAAGAAACAACTGAATTTGCAGACGTGTTGTTAACTACCTTCGCCGACGGGCATTTGGTAAAACGATCTATGCACAGAAGGATATATTTTTTGGTCCACAAAAAGGGTTCAAAGGGCCGGCGAAATCTAGATTTATCTCTTCGTTAGCTTGCTCACATGATCCGATAGTTTGCTCACATGATCCGATAGTTTGCTCACATGATCCAATTCCAACAAAATCTTAAGGTTTTTACCGGTTTTTGAACATTGTGAGCCTCCCTGTAGGTAGGTGGTTTGTCTCCTGTAAACATACGGCCATCAGATATATTTTGCAAGTAACTTCATGCCAAACTGGCCTGGGTGGTGGGACTCATGCAACATCGAATTGAATGCGCCGCGGGCCGCAGCTAGCACCAATTTTTTGTTGTCCATGAAGAGCAATTCGTATCTAGTGTGCAGGTCCTTCTCGCAGTTTTTCAGGCACGATCTATAAATTCCCAGTGGGCATCCTGTCTTCAATATTGGAATAAAGTCCCATACGATTTTTGCCGTCCTTGGTCCCAATTTGAAAAATTTTTCCGGTATAATTAGAGAAGAAGGTAAAGATAAGTTTGCTTTGTAACGTTTCAATAAGGTCGAGTGGTCGTTATTCAATAGATTGTCCTTAAATTTTAAGGCTATATTGTGTTCTTCTGGGACAATTACTAGAGGATCTGAAAATTTTGGAGATGACGTACCCGTGCTATTCAATCGTTTTGGTTAAACCCTTTCGTTATGCATTATGAAAAGTAAAAGGGCTTTATCCGAAAAAGAAATGGTTTTGTCATTAAAATTTGAAATATCTAATGGAAGACAATTAGATGTACAATTTCTCGATCTGACGTGCGAAGAATTACAAATTTTTATGGACTTGGCGTTACAAGAAATCATAGCAGCAATAATTCAAAGATTAAAT